TCTCAAGTCTCGAGCGCCTGCAAATTTGTCTATCAAATCAAATCAAATATACTTTTATTTTCCATACAATAAAGTAGTACAATATACTATAAGAATGCAAAATTGAAACCGGTCTATACATGCAATCTCTGCATACGTTCCAAACCACATGAGCTCTCACTGGGTTAAGCGAAGCCCCCATACCTTAAAGGGCCCAGGGATATTTATCAGCATTTTTGCCTATACACTGACTGAGCAGAGGCCTTTTTAAAGGACACCGTCAAAAAGTATAAATACTTCCTCAAAATGCCAAATCCGTCGAAGCAGGCGGGGCTATCCCACAGGGTAGTAGGGCCCCGAAAATAGCCAGTGGCCCCGGGCTTACCTCTTTCTTACGCCACTGTCCAAATTACGTCTGTAATAATTTTATATATATTGCTGAATGTCTGACTCGAACTATTTATACTGATTGTTATTTCTAATATTATAATGGGGTACTCACTTTCACTCTGTGATTTGTATGAATAATCCGAGTTGTCATCGTCCTTTGAATCATCACCAACTTTGCATGTGTCCAAATATGATCCAAGGTCTACACCAAAATTCATAATTATTTGTTAACTATTACTATGATTGTGATGATTATTATTGGCACATTTTATGGATTATTATTATTGTTATTAATATAATCCCCTCCCCATCATCTTCGTCATAATCATTATAATAATAATTAGTATAGTTGTCATCGTCCTTTGAATCATCACCAACTTTGCATGTGTCCAAATATGATCCAAGGTCTACACCAAAATTCATAATTATTTGTTAACTATTACTATGATTGTGATGATTATTATTGGCACATTTTATGGATTATTATTATTGTTATTAATATAATCCCCTCCCCATCATCTTCGTCATAATCATTATAATAATAATTAGTATCATTATCATCATCATCATCATCATCATCATCATCATCATCATCATCATCATCATCATCATCATCATCATCATCATCATTATTATATGTATTATTATTATTTATTATTATCAATATATTATAATTATTGTTAGTATTGTCATTAATAATAATGTTATTATTATTAATATTAATTTCATATCCACTGACAAAGCGCATTGTCGGTGGTCAAAGGTTGGCACATTTTACGGAGTGATGAACTCACTCCTGCACGTTGTGCACTTGCGTTTGCAGTTAGTACATAACATTTTCATGAGTACGCTTAAACGTAAGAAAAGTTGTCAGCGTAGTTACGCATGCGCACTTTAAAGTGGGCGGAGCTAAGTATACAAATTATGACGTGTAACGTTTTCGTCGTGACTTTGAAAAGTCCCTATTATAAAACTTGAAAGGCCTAAAAGGAACACACAGTGTTACATTTTACTCAAAAATTAAATCCGATATGAAAGAAAGAGGGCTTAAATTAGAAAATATCGTTGATTTTTATAAATTTAAAGAAATTGCCAAAAACAAAATACAATGGAATAGAATGTATGAAAAAATGATTTAGAAAGGTGTTCTTTATTATATTTTATTTATGCATCGAAAGTGTGGATGTGACTTATCAGACAAAATTAATTTCATATCTTCAATGAAGCTTGTAATAAATTTGTTCCATCATAAAAAAAACTTTAATTAAAAAATGTACTTGATTAGGCCTACAAATTATAAAAAGAAACAATAATAGAAATATTGAGATCTGTCAATCGATAAAATATGATGCAACTTCTCTGGCCTTTCGGAGAATGTTGGTATTGTCATCTTTGTTTCAAAATGATGCGAGCTTGACCTTTTCGTAGAGATTTCAAACAGGTGAATAGAAAGCTAACTCTGGTAAAAGAAAGCGTTTTTCCCTACGTCACCATCCAATTACAAAGCTACTTTTACATAACAAAAAGAAAATCGCTAGGTCTATCGTTTTACCTTGATTTAACGGATACGACCATTTATTTTCTTCAACATATGCCATTTTTGTATCTGTTGGAAGAAATGTTAGGTTTAAATTTCCATTGAATTAAACATGAATAAAAGTCGCAGTATTTTGAAAATCACAGATTTATACAAATTACAAGTTGCTTCTTTTATGTTTCAATTTACTGAAAATCAACTTCAAGCTTCTATTATTTTATTATTCGAGAATCCTAAAAGTATCCATGATTATTACCCAAACTCTATTACTCCATGTTCCTTTTGTTAGACTAAAAAAACAGTCATTTTTTTTAATTACGGTCTATGTACCAAATTATGGAATGATATTGATAAGGCAAAATTAAAACATGTCATATATCCAATCTATTTAGGAAGAAAATGAAAAAGAATTATTTAGAAATAGTATACTGTATGGCATAATTTGATTAGGCCTACAGCGTGGTTACTTATTTTATTACAGTTTTCCCTTTGATTTGATTTTTTTCTTTTCTCTTTGGTCTCATCGGTGTCAACTAAGACAAGTTTTGCTTCTATGTTTAATCCAAGTTAACCATGTAATCAATTAACCTGTAATAGACTGGTTTTTTTTTTGCTTTTGATTAACTGAATAAATACAATATGGAATGAATTAATAAATAAATGAATGAACGAACGAACAAACGAATAAATGAATGAATGGAAGATTGATTGATTGAATGATTGATTGATTGAATGAATGAATGAATGAATGAACGATTGATTGAATGGAAGAATGAATGAACGAATGAATGAATGAACGATTGATTGAATGAAAAAAGGAATGAATGAATAATTTCAAGAAAAAAATATGCCTTTTAGAAAAATACAAAAATGATTTCAGATCCTAAAATTTTGAAAGCATAATCGTAAGCCAAAGGCCGATGTCTAATACTGTAATGTACTGTGTGCTAGTATGCGAGTGTAGGCCTGATATGTCTATGTAGGCCTACGTATATAATGTGTACGTAAGAGGTAATATGGGTATGCATGCATGTATGTATGTATGTGGCCTAGTATTGTATACTTTACGGTAGCCATATGAAAAAATATCCGACGACGCCGCAATTCCTACGGACAAATTAGAAAAGTGGGACGTGTAAATTAAGGCCATTTTTATGCCGTTTTCAATTAATTAGAAAAACCCTAAAACTATTATGAACGAAGATTTGATATTAATTGATTAGACACATCATCCACATATTCCATAAATGCAATAAAGTTTTATTTAGAACTAATCTGTCCTATGTGTGGTATTTTGTATGCTGACCGTCTCGTGTTTCTGCACGTGAGATAGAATTCGCTGTACACTCTACTAATGCAAAAATTGACCGTAGAGTATTTTATTATACAAACGTTCAATAACACCGTAACCTGCGGATATCTTTTAAACCATAAATGATCTGTCAGTATTGAACCGTATAAAGCTTAAACATAGAGAACAAAGAAGACGAAACTTACCCAAGAAAAATAAATGTCTCTCCCTATGTAAGATGAAAACAAGCGATGAGTGCTAATGATTGTATTCATCAACGACTGCCACTCCGATCCATCGTATACAGTACACTTTCGCGAGACATAATGAATATTTATGAGAACGACGAATGACGTTATATAAATAATAAATTATCTGGTTTTGTTTACTTTGTGCTAGGAATATTTTGATGTTTTATTTTATTTTTTTTTTGCGATATTATAGGCAATAATGTTATAAATGTGTGTATTATTCGTGAGTTAGAGTGGGTCATCAAAAATATTCGATAATCAAGGCAGCCAAAATAAACGATGTTTTTTGTTCAATAGCCTAAATTATGTTTAGGAATATTTCGTTATAGGCCTAAATGAATTAAATGAAATATATATTTTAACACTACGGCCGGCCAACTTCTATTAAGGTGACACCCCTATTAAAGAGACTGGGACACTTTCTGAATGTACCTGAAACGGTCAATTTAGCACATATTCAACCCATTTAAAAAGATGAATGTGGAGTGCCGCCAGGGCCTGCCAGGGTCGAGTCGAGGGGATGTGGTGGATGTCCAGGAGAGAAAGCTCCTTGGCATCTGACGATTTGAGCATTATTAAGCTGTTTTAAAATTATTTCATGGAGTGTTGTTGACAATACTGGGTACATAAACAAATATATTTTTGATAAAGTCACATGCAATTTGAGTTTCAGTTTATTTTTTAGCACCGAACTGTGTACAAACATGAACGGAAAAGAGAAATTTTCTCGGTGAATTCATTATCGAAAGAGATAATAAACGATCTCTAGGCCTAATGACTATGTTCCTGCATGACTGTTTTTATATTTTAAAAAAAATCAATTTCTTCTAATTTTAAACACATTCTTTCATGGAGTCATGATAATTCGTTATCACGCATAGACTTGTGCTAAATGCGTGACAAAATATGAGTCACTACGCATGTGTTCTGCAAAATGCGTGTTTCATCCAAAATCGCTTTGAATGCGAGACCGTCACGCTGCAAGACGGTTGGTAACTATGAGTCAGTGGCGGATTTAAGGGAGGGCCGAGCCATTTCCGGCCATCTAGAGGTGCCAAAATCATAAATTTTCTTTCCTCAGCCCCACCATAGTTGGGCCCCCTCTATTTCAGTAGGGCTAATGTGTATTTGATGGAAACAAATTTCAATGGTCATAATTTTGCTCTACTACATATACTGTAAATCATTGTTAGCCATAGGCCTATATTTGTTCAATACTAATTAGTATTCCTTTTTTTAATGGTACGGTCCGATTTGGACTCTTGCCAAGTACAAACGTCGTGTGTTGATACACGTGAAACGCAAAAGTCTGAAATCGCTCGTGTACCGTATGTATTGATGATTCAGACGCCGATGAATAATTCTGGCGAGCTGAATTGATATCTCTATTTTAAACTAAGATATCTCTATTTAAAACTAAGATATCTCTTAATAGAGACATCTTAGTTTAAATAGAGATACTGTATCTCTGTTAATAGAGATATCTCTATATTTAAAACTAAGATATCTCTATTTAAAACTAAGATATCTCTATTTAAAACTAAGATATCTATTTAAAACTAAAATATCTCTATTTAAAATAGAGAATTCTTAGTTCATAGAGATATCTTAGTTTTAAATAGAGATAGGCCTATCTTAGATTTAAAAAGATATATCTTAGTTTTAACTAAGATATTTCAATTTATAGAGATATCTCTAAAATACTTGATATCTTTATAAATAGATAGGCCTATCTCTATTTAAAACTAAGATAGACCTATCTCTATTTACGATTAAATGATAACTCGGTTCGTTATAGATAATGGTTGTGGTAGTAGCCACTACTCCGTTGTCGGGAGGTAGTGCACTCGCCATTCTACGTGACTTGGTTCGATAGTATAATACATACCCCAAATATCGAAATGTACGCCATCGTGTCGGGATTAAATATTTCGACATTATAATTATGTCATCAGGAATGAAAAATTATCCATATTTGCAAGCTTATATGCACAAGTACCAAAAGACTGTGATTGACCAATCAAAACATTACCCCTAGTAGGTTACATACTTATAAATAAACTAAAGATCAAAGCATTCTTACCCTAGTGATCAAAGCTACCTACAAAAACAAAGAAAGCTACTTTTTTATTTCTCTGATAATTTGGGACCGTCGACCCTCAACATGTAACAACTATCCTGACAGACTTCGGATATATGCTATTCCATCACTCCACGAACGTTTCATGATTCTTCATTTATCTTTTATCATTAATTGTCTCTACAAGAAAAATTGTGTTGATGTTACTAATATTCAAGTTAATTGCCGTCATTTTGTTTGGGTTCAATTCCTGTCAGTGTTCCAGGATTTTTTCTCGCAACCAAAAACAACTCCACCCTAAATCTCATATTGAGATTTAGTTTGTGTAAAGCATCGTGTGTGTACGTTTGTCTTGTGTAAGGAATTGTCACCTACAAGTAGGACGCTTAGAGGCATTGTGCATGAAGCGCTATATAAGAGCAACATATTATTATTATTATTATTATTCGCTATTGGCAATCCTTGGCACATGTATTGTGTGCCTAAATAAATAAATAAAAAAAAAATCAGATAATAAAATATAAAACATTAATACAAACATTACTACGTAAAATTAATATAACTACAAATATGTAGATTATTGCAAAAGCCAATATAATTAAGTTCAAATAAGAAGTTAAATAATATATGCATAAATAAGAATCCTCTCCGTATACAGTAAAATTTTGTTTTAAACAATAAGTCTTAAAATAAAAAGAAAAAAAAGGGTAAAAGAATAACGAATTACATGATAAAAGAAATCAATAAACTATAAGTGGTCATATAAATCAGATAATAATAATTAAAAGCAATGAATAAGAGATTATTAAATAAAAGACAAAAAATAATAAACCTGTTTAATCTAACAGGTAACAAAATGAGAATGAAATATTAAAACATTGTAACAGAAAAATAAATAAAAAAATAACAATATAAAAGTGATAGGCATATACAACAACAAAAGAATAATCAAACTGTAGAATGTGAAAGAAAGGGATTTTAAGAACTTCAGGACTCGGCATTTGAAAGAAGACTATGAAGGTGAATTGTGAATAGATATAGGACGAACATGTATGGCTTTGTAACTGAAGGATAATTTGAAGATTTCAAGTGTGGATTTGGGAGCAAAAAGATTTCCTTTAGTTATTTGGCGAGGTAAGTCATTCTGTTATGGGCTGCGATGCATTCCTTGCGGAGCGAGAGAGTTGATTGAGTTATCAACATAAACAGAGGCCTAGTCAACAACGGTTAATAATAAGCATAATCCACCAGCTGAAACGGATATATTACCAGTAATCCAGCTATAGCCATGAATAATAAACTTATGTAATGTAAAATTTGATTAGATATACTTATGAATAACCATTACGTCAATATAATAGGCGTACCTTTGGTCCGAAGGGTCTTTGGTCCGAAGGCCCATTGGTCCGAAGGCCCGTTGGTCCGAAGGGTCTTTGGTCCAAACATCCATTGGTCCGAAGGCCCGTTGGTCCGAATTAGTGACTTTTTTTCCAGGAATGCAGGTTATACGGCAGTTAAACAATTCCTTAGAAGGAGTGAATTAGGAAAGATCACTTTTCTAAAACAATATTCCCAAATATTTTCCCTAACAACATATAAGGCCAAGTTAAAAAAAATTCTAGTTTCTTGTCACCTCCCGCATCCACTTTCTCTGCCTCACCATTAAAAAAATATATATTTCCTTTATTTTGCGAAATGTACGAAAATCTGGCTAACTCACATCAATAAAATTCCTCTCTCGATCGTCGATAGAGAGATGTTCCAAGTGAGAATTTCAGTTGAACTATTACCAGTAGTATTATGAATTAAAACTCAATGTACTATGATACGAATCATGTTTAGTGCTTCTTTTATTTGCTTTTAATGTGCAGTGGCGGCACTACAGGGGGAAGAGGGGTGGGGGAAAATACCCCATATAAAATTTGTTTCCCCCAGTTTCCCTCACCCCCAGAAGAGTATAAAAAAACAGTTCGTGGGGGGATAAAAAAATATATAATATATTAGTAGACTTTCTATTTAGAATCGATTGACTAACCTTCTGAAACCCCTAAATTGTCACATTTTCCGGGGGATCCGCCCCATGGACCACTTTCCCGACCACGCTTACTTTGCTCTCGTCGAGGAACTTGTTCCCCCCCCCACCCTAAATATCATACCTTGCCATTCATTTCCCCACACCCCATATGCTTTCGCTGTCACTGTCAATGTGTCTACTACTACTAAACCTAAACATAAACCTATCAACTATTTTCAGTATATTTTGCCCTGAGAAATGGAAGCTTCGTCATCGAAGTCTTTGAATATTCCCTTCTTACATTTTAAATATCTATAGCCATTATTGATTGTCTATGTACTTTCCGATTTTCGTCATTTGATTTTATACGTTGCTAGCTTGGTTGCTAAAACCAATTCCTAATTCTGATTCAATGTTATTGTCATATACAATCCATACATGCAGTCACATTCAATCAGAATTAGGGATTGGTTTAAAATTGTTGTAACTTTGTATTTCATTTTAATTTATGTTCTTTGTATAAATTTTACTTGATTGTATTATGTATAGACGCGCCACCGTACGCACATGCGTGTGTGCCACTGTTCCTAAAGTGGGTTCCAATAAAAAGTGAAATACTTAGACTATAGCCACTGTCAAAAGTTTCCTTCTCGCAAATGAGTCATCAAGTCTGATAAACTGACCACATATGACTACCGGTACCGGTGTCACAGATCATATTCCCTTTCTCTAAACCATTCCCAATCCTCCACCCCGCACCCTCAGTACGTACGGTAACGTTTATATTGTTTCAGGTCTATAAACACAACATATAAACATGACATTTATCGGTATATATAAAAATTTAATGATGTTTCAACAATCACGCAAAGAATAGTACATTTCTGTTTATCACAATAACTTTTAAAACAATTAAAATTAAAATAAAAAATTAAAATTGTTTTCCCCTTCACTCCGGGGCCCTGAATTATATCATTGTTGCTTAATTACTATTGTTAATAGGTATGGGGCTATTATAGATCATTCTTCAACGTGAATATTTATTGTATGTACAGTACAATAGCAAATAATAAAGTAAATAACATGTTATTACGCAAACATATTTTACTAGGCCTATGTTGCTATGTTTTAGTACTAACAATAACATAAATATAACAGAAATAATTATAGTAATAATAAAGAATTATTCCAGATGCCTTAATATGGAAATTTTGATAGATAAATACATACTTAAAAAATACTAGATGTAGAAAGATAAATAGTTTTAAATGTAAAATGAATTACTGTATTAAAGCAGGTTTTTTTTAATGAAAGGTTCTTCTGAAAACTGTAAAAAAAAAATCCAAAATTTGTAGGAATATCGACAGATTAGGTTTCGCAAGATTATTACGAAAACGAAAATAGGGAGTTTTCGCAAGGTTACGAAAGTGATAACGAATACGGTTACGTCATCAAACTTTGAGACAACCCTTCCCTTACAATAGCACATCTGTCACAACGTACGGCAGGCGATTCGTGTCTTTGCATGAATGAGGGATCATATACAGCTCGTACAACATATTGACAATGACGTATTCGTTATCGTTTTTGTAAAGGTTGCGAAATCTCACTATCGCGGTTATGTAATCGAATTTTTAGTCAATCCTACAGTAGTAGGTCTGTCCATGTTGGTCTGTCACAACGTAGGTCATCCATGGCTTTTTCATGAATCATGAAGATGACGTATTCGTATTCGTGATCGTTTTTGTACTCTCTCTAATAAGGTACTCATCTTTAAGAAAACGATTACGTATAACCAATTTGATGATTTTTTTTTAGCCAATCTCTATTCATATCCTTCAAAAGCGTACCTGCGCTTTACAAAAATAACCGATCATATTTTGTAGGCCTATAATATGAACAAATATCGTTTTAAACAAATTTACTAATATAAAATGTCTAGTGTGTGGAACACAATTGACTGTTCCGCTATACTCTGCCAAAACCACAGTGTTTGTACCAACATAAACACGTGCGTTTTTTGGGAGAAGCACGTACGTACAGTACCATAAATTTCCTACAAAAGTGTTATTGTATTTTCATATAAAATGTAATCATATACTGGCGCCTTGAGCCTGGTTTTCATTAAATCGCTACGCACTTTCATCGACAGCTTTCAGCGACGTTGATTTGTCAGTGGGGCAGCTATGATTGCAGTGAAAACCCTGTAGCGTCAGTGTAGCGATTTTATCGAAACACACCTTCAGTTTTAACCAACTTAACTGACTTAATTGTTGAGTCAACAACTTCTGTTTATAAACTATAAACAGAAGTATTAGGCAGTTGTGCGACTTACTGATTTGTCTTAAATATTAAACACAGAATTATAATCATATTTTATAATAGAGAAATAACATTTATCAAACAAATTGAGAAGTTACAAGATACAAAAGCTGGTGCAGATGCAGGGGCGGGGGAGGGGTGCAATCGCACCCCCTAAATTGTATTAACAAAAACAAGTGTATTGTATTGTTGATATATTATTTTTATAATTATGAACATAGTACGGGTAAGATTTTAAAGAATGAGAGTGCACCTAAGGATCCATATTTTCAAGATTTTTGCAATTCAGCCCCAACCATGGTCGGGCTGAGGTGATATGCACTCCCATGCACCCCCTACCTCCAAATCCTGCATCTGCCCCAGAAAAGATACCAAATGTCTCTATCGCAATTTTAACAAAAATTTGAAATGTATGTAAATTAATAATATTAAAAACCTCACCGGAACATTGAGACAACCAACTAATGGTTTTACCTCAAAAACCATATCTTTATACAGATATAGTGACCTCACTGGGTTGGCATTAGAGTAGTGGGTAAATTTTAATAGATTAATTATTAAGAGGGTCACTTTAAGAGTATGGGTTACAAACTTTCATTCGGAAGTTTTACATCATGTGTGTGCTATTTCTCTATGTTACAGAATTTAGCATGCCCATAGGCGTGACTTTTTTATACCTTGTTTAACAAGTTTTTCTTTATTTTTATTATGCCCTCCAGTGCCTTGAAATCTACAGATAAGATATGTATATTTCTTCCAAATTACATAAATTTGAAGCATTTAACCATCCTATTTTACATTCACCAATAGAATTTTATTTTTATTTTCTCCTCCATCTGGATGACTTTGGCAAACTATTTGCTAAATAAGAAAACAAAATTTTATTTTTTTTGTTGGTATTTCGCACTCCTCCAATAATCTAAAAAATAATTACACAAAACAAGGAATAAAAAAAATCTGGCCATATTAAAAAAATATATATTTTTTTAGCCCCAATGAGGAGCTCTAGGAAAACCCAGCTGATGGATTAATAGATCTTTTTTGTGCTGATTACTTATTAGATCTACTATTCTACTGCCTTTATCGGAGCTTTCGAGATTACGAGACCTTGTTTATGAAGCGCAGAGAAGCTTATAACATTATGAGCAATATAAGTGGAACTCATTTATATTATTATTATTATGTTACATAAATGAACAAGGGTGTGTTTCTACAGACCAAAAAACCTTTTCTAGAAATGATTCTTTCCAAAGAACAACTTCGACTTGTAGAATAAAAAGATGAATCATTTATCAGAATCAATTGCTTGTCCAGCACGTTAAAAATGTTTTCTAGTGGTACAGACTTTAATTCTTATCTTAGTGATTCGATCACCAGCTTATGATAAGAGAACTGTTTCTGTCTTGATTTTCAGTAGAAGGGAAGCACCCCTTAAATATAATTTAATGATGGCTGCACTCTGGAATGGACAGTTAAAGCCAGGCTCGGGG